GTACGAACAAAAGTAAGAGAAATTTAGGATAAGAATACGAACATGTTCTTGCCTGAGGCCCATTGTCTTCTAAATTATTCCACAGTCTCACTCTTTGGATTGAGGTGCAGCTTTCTTTCAAACACGTTCTAAACTTAGGTTTCATGAACATCTATATTCCTTTTAAGATTATAACAGCTTTCTCTCTTTGTAAAATTTATCCGAACATTTAAAGGTAATGCTTTTCGGTGTGCTTTAAACATAACTAACAAAATATTATAATCAATCAAATAATGGAATTTCATTAATTTCAGTTTACAGAATAATATACACTGTATAAGAGGGATAAAGGTAATGTTTCCTAGTGATAACTCTTATAGCTCTTTTTTGCTAAACAAAAACAGGATGTGTAATAGTCTTACATGCTTTACCCCATACCTCAACGCTATAGACCAAGTGTGGAACAATTAATGTTATATAACATATACAGAGCTTTATTAATGAATAAGTCCCTTACTTTGTAAAGCAATGCAATAGATTTAGCTAGTTTTATTCTAAGAAAATTTATATGAGTTTTCATGTCAGTTTTTCGTCAATAATAACACCCAAAAACCTCACCTCACTGACTCTACTAATCTCTACACCACTAACTCTGAATGGAATATTAACAGTTTTTTTTAATATTTTTGTAAATGTCATATAGTATATACAGTTAATGCATTTGGAAAGGCACCATAAATGTAGAAAAGAACATACAGGTTTTAAAACAACATTTGCTCAAATCCAGATACTTTTTAGGGAAGTTTTGTGTATCTTTCAAGACAATTCTAAAAGAAAAACAGATTCCAGGTGATGAAATGATCTGCCTGCAGTCCAGACCTCACATCAGTCATCACGAAACATATCATGAAAAAAAAAAATCCAGCAACTCAGGAATCCTACATCAGACACGAATAGGATGACAGTCCCCTCCTAAACATTTACAAATGGACTCTTTAGGTCCTGGATGTTTACAGATTCTTGTTAAAAGAAGTTTGAGAAGGAAACATTGATGCTTCCATCAAATTCAAAATTATCTTATTGTTTCCTTCCCCCAAAAAATGTATTTCTATGTGTAAAAATCATTGGGCCTCATGCAAGAACCGTTCGTACGCACAGATTTGTTCTTAAATTGTGCGTACGAGTGATTTAGG